ATCGCAGGTGAGATGCTTTGTTCATTGTGCATTTGTTGTGATGTTTGATCACAAATGCAGACATCATGGCAGACTGAGTGACTTAGTTTGGCAGCTCGAACTCAGGGCTATTGCCACAGTGTATTAATATGTGTAAAGTGCTTCTAGTCTGATACGGCCGTGATTATTTATGCTAAAGTGCCTACTAATAAAGAGGTGGTGAATGATAGCTTATTTTTTAAATCTTCACTATCAGCTAGGCATAGTGCATGTTAGGGACAGTTATTTAATTGCTTCATAATGATGAAATTGTTTCTATTGCACAAACAATAATCACTCGCATTTATTATTGTGTTTAATACTTTACAATTGTTGGATGCCAAATTTTCACTTAAAGTTATATTATTTTTTCTTGCCTATACCTTCGTTTGATTTTCTGGATCTGTCTATATCATGTTGTAATTGTTTTGTAAACTTTGTAACAAACGTTCCTATTTAACGAAATACAGATTGCTTGATGTGCTCATCGAGTTCTGAATAAAGTATTTGTTTTTTTTATTTGTGACACAATACAAATTATTATGTTTGTAAGACTTCATTGGAACCAATTTTACGACAAAACCACCAGCCAGGATATTGGTTTCATCCATTAAAAACATGAAAGTATTGCACATGGCATGCTCATATCTTGCCATGAATAAAATTAATTATTTGCGGGTTGTAAAAGTAGGCCTCAAAATCTATAGCGAAAGTACTTGGCTCAGATCCAGGTGAAGGCCACTGAAAACGTTGGGCAAGTTTCAGCGACGTGATCACTTATTGAGCAGCAATGTGGGTTGCACAAAAAGTCAATTAGTGCATCGTCTGTGTTTGGGGTGATGCCATCGTATTTGGCCAGCATGAAAGAGCGGGGCCAATTCATAAGTCAATCTGTGAATGCTATTTAAAGGCAGGCAAGAGTCCAATAGGACAGCCGGTCTCTTTAAAAAAAAAAGACCTGGACGAAGCTGTAGAAAGTATAACATTAAGTGCAGACGCAAAAAAATATATTGTAAATATAACATGATATATAAGCACGGAATAACACATTCAGATATTGTGCAGTGACACAATGAGAAAAAAATCAAAATACTATATCTGTGCTACTAATTTTATTTAGCCAGCGTCCTTGAGGGCCAAGACTCTTATTCAGGAGGGTCCTGCATTGTGATGTTCGGCCAATTCCACAAAATTAGTGTTTGGCATGTGGGAGGAAATTGGAGCGGCCAAAAAAAAAAACTCCACCCATATCCACGTCACAACTCAAACCCTCACGTCTTAACTTCTTTGGTTCTTTCGATAAAGTCACGTAGAATGAGAATAAAATAATAAAATAAAATAAGACAATAAAATTTTCACGACGTTTCGGCCACAACACAAGTAGCCTTCTTCAGGTGAAAGAACAGAACTGTCGGGGCGACAGAGCTTGAATGAACGCTGTTAAGATTCGTAGCGTATTTTAAGCTCCATATACTAAATGCCTCTGTTGATATGTAAACTTTGACTTTAACACAGCTATTTCTGTCACAAGCTAATCCCTCAGCTATTTCAATGCTAAATTCTCCTGCTTTGATACGGAAACTCCTTTGTCAAGGCTCTCCACGCCTCTCACCGAGCTTAAAAGACGCTGCGAATCTTAACAGCGTTCATTCAAGCTCTGTCGTCCCGACAGTTCTGTTCTTTCACCTGAAGAAGGCTACTTGTGTTGTGGCCGAAACGTCGTGAGAATTTTATTGTGTTATTTTATTTTATTATTTTATTCTCATTCTACGTGACTTTACCGAAAGAACCAAAGAAGATGAATCCTTGCAGGCACGAAACCTCACGTCTTAATTTCGCAATTTTAATAATGCATTACAACTCAATTTGAGTCGTAACGAATCTTGGCAGGACTGTTTCAGGACATACAGCTGGGAGGATTTGAATCGTGGGCTTGGAAAGAAGGGTTTAAAATCAGGAGAAAAAGTGGTTAGTTACATTCATTGTTGCAATACACACCTGTAATCCATGGGTATCAAGGTGCCATAGCCTGGCTCACTAGGAGAGGGTGGTGCAGTAAATTTGAACTCCATCTGTTCCATCTGTGTGAGATAGAGTGGTGCCCTCTTATTGGGTGGTTGCTGTCTTCCTGCTTGTCAATGATTCCTTGCACATCCGAGTCAGTATCCCTGTTCGAGAGTGAGCAAATACTGTGTTTGTTGCAATATTACATTTTTATTATTAACTACAGTCCAGGGTGATCCATGTATATATAACCTACCAAGTCATAGGGAGTACGGAAAGAATACAATCGTAGGTTGTATTGAGGACTGTTCAGCGTGGCATCCTGTGTATACCACACAATCTCCTCAGTTAATGTAGTTTTTGTTATGTTTTTTGTTCCCCTCACATAATTAATCAAACAAAGTGTCACATATTCTTTGGTTCTTTCAGAATAAAGTCACGTAGATAGAAGATAAAAAATAAACTCACGACGTTTCGATCGCAACACAAGCGGTCGTCTTCAGGCGCCTGATGATAACCGCTTGTGTTGCGATCTCGAAACGTTGTGAGTTTTATTTTATTTTGTTGTTTTCTATCTACGTGACTTTACCGAAAAAAAAAACAAAGAATATGAATTCCTGCAGTCACGAAAGTTTGAAGAAAAAATTAAGTGTCACATAATTTGCGATACAATTTGTAATGACATTTCCTCTTGTGGCACACGCTGTGTACTGTATTTAAAATGTACCACAGATCCGTGACTCTCCATCCATGCCACCACCGTTAACTGTAAGATGTGGCAGCCATTGCTTTTACAATATTCAATCAACTGTTGAGAATAAATTAATACAGGATAATTAGAGAGCAGTGAGGTGTCTGTAAATGGATGATGCTGTATATACAGTGAGGGAAAAAAGTATTTGATCCCCTGCTGATTTTTTACGTTTGCCCACTGACAAATAAATTATAAGTCTATAATTTTAATGGTAGGTTTATTTGAACAGTGAGAGACAGAATAACAACAACAAAAATCCAGAAAAATGCATGTCAAAAATGTTATAAATTGATTTGCTTTTTAATGAGGGAAATAAGCATTTGACCCCCTCTCAATCAAAAGATTTCTGGCTCCCAGGTGTCTTTTATACAGGTAACGAGCTGAGATTAGGAGCACACTCTTAAAGGGAGTGCTCGTAATCTCAGCTTGTTACCTGTATAAAAGACACCTGTCCACAGAAGCAATCATTCAATCAGATTCCAAACTCTCCACCATGGCCAAGACCAAAGAGCTCTCCAAGGATGTCAGGGACAAGATTGTAGACCTACACAAGGCTGGAATGGGCTACAAGACCATTGCCAAGCAGCTTTGTGAGAAGGTGACAACAGTTGGTGCGATTATTCGCAAATGGAAGAAAAACAAAAGAACTGTCAATCTCCCTCGGCCTGGGGCTCCATGCAAGATCTCAATGATCATGAGAACGGTGAAGAATCAGCCCAGAACTACACGGGAGGATCTTGTCAATGATCTCAAGGCAGCTGGAACCATAGTCACCAAGATAACAATTGGTAACACACTACGCCGTGAAGGAGTGAAATCCTGCAGCGCCCGCAAGGTCCCCCTGCTCAAGAAAGCACATATACATGCCCGTCTGAAGTTTGCCAATGAACATTTGAATGATTCAGAGGACAACTGGGTGAAAGTGTTGTGGTCAGATGAGACCAAAATGGAGCTCTTTGGCATCAACTCAACTCGCCGTGTTTGGAGGAGGAGGAATGCTGCCTATGACCCCAAGAACACCATCCCCACCGCCAAACATGGAGGTGGAAACATTATGCTTTGGTGGTGTTTTTCTGCTAAGGGGACAGGACAACTTCACCGCATCAAAGGGACGATGGACGGGGCCATGTACCGTCAAATCTTGGGTGAGAACCTCCTTCCCTCAGCCAGGGCATTGAAAATGGGTCGTGGATGGGTATTCCAGCATGACAATGACCCAAAACACACAGCTAAGGCAACAAAGGAGTGGCTCAAGAAGAAGCACATTAAGGTTCTGGAGTGGCCTAGCCAGTCTCCAGACCTTAATGCCATAGAAAATCTGTGAAGGGAGCTGAAGGTTCGAGTTGCCAAACGTCAGCCTCGAAACCTTAATGACTTGGAGAAGATCTGCAAAGAGGAGTGGGACAAAATCCCTCCTGAGATGTGTGCAAACCTGGTGGCCAACTACAAGAAACGTCTCACCTCTGTGATTGCCAACAAGGGTTTTGCCACCAAGTACTAAGTTATGTTTTGTAGAGGGGTCAAATACTTATTTCCCTCATTAAAATGCAAATAAATTTATAACATTTTTGACATGCATTTTTCTGGATTTGTTGTTATTCTGTTTCTCACTGTTCAAATAAACATACCATTAAAATTATAGGCTGATCATTTCTTTGTCAGTGGCCAAACGTACAAAATCAGCAGGAGATCAAATACTTTTTTCCCTCACTGTAAACAGATGACTGCACTTGGTTTTGTTCTAGTCCTATAGCTCTTTGAATGTGGTTTGCGGCAAGTGGGAAGTGGCCAGAGAAAATCAGGGTGGCATATTCTCGGCCAACATTACATGAGCACAACATTATAGAATGCACTTTCTTCACATGATCTATTGAGATTTGGCAGAAGAATGCATTTTTTAAATCACACACGTTATACTATATGACATGTAACCGAGTTAACATGTACACCCACCAAAAGCAGCTTAAAGTAAAAAAAACAAGCACAAGGGACTGCAATTTTATTGTTTCACTTGTGGCATGTTGATAACCCAATTAGACTGAAGTGCATTTTGAAAGGTTCGAAGAATGTACATTTGCGCTCAGCAACAAGGTCTTGCATGTTATTCTTTCCAAATATATATTCTGTTTGTGATTCACTTAAAATCCAGTTTTGGAAGGGATTTTTTTCGTTCTCAGTTTAATTTTGTGTTGTTTACCTTTTTTGCATTTTTTCTTTTTCCCAGGGATCTGCCAGACCACCCAATGTCCCTGGAGGAAGTGTAAGTAATAATAATCATTTTGAACGTCTTTTTACCATCATCAGACAATCACAGTAAATGTAACACGTAGACTTTCCGTGAACAAATATTATTTATTCAGAATTAACTTTTTCGGTCAGATCACATAAATAAAATGTGAGTCGTACACCCTCTTCCACCAGACAGCCAATTAATAAAGTTGTCACGTGAACAAACGTGCCTATTCATTACTGCTTCAACAAAAAATGCGCAATAAACCGTTTAGGGCAATCTCACAACATTTAAATCGGTGTGACAATTCAGTCACGTAATTTATCGTAAGATAAAATAACATGATTTATGTCAATACATTCATCATAAGTAGCACTTCCTGCCACTCCCTGCTCCCTTGTGAATGCACATTGATGACATCACACACCCGATTTAAGGCCCAAGAACGGAAGACATTTTTGCAACTCTGGCTTCTGCTTGATGATGCTGGTTGTAACTATCAATGAAATGTCGTGCCCATTTAAATGCTGTCAGATTGTGCTCTCACGCACCGGTGTGCTGAAACAATTATGTATTGCTACGTTTGTTCAAGTGACGAATTTATTAATCGGCTGTGTCGGATGGAGGAGGGTTTCATGACATACATTTGAATTATTATGATCTGACCCAAAAAAAATATTATGAATCACAATCGTAGCAATATGCCAGTTCTATTTTCAAATAATAATTTGCATTTTCAACAAAGTATTGCAAAATTATGTTGTTGCTCTGTTAAACATAATATTTCACATAGGCACATTTTCGTCCTTGTTTTACCAAAATGTATTGTCAAATGAACGCAATATATAGATTAGTAATGCAAAACGATTATTCAGAAGCACAACATAACATGAATGCTTTGTATGTTGAGATGATATCACCGTTTGTGTGCATAGCCTCGTGACAGCCACCAGCTCAAAATAGCTGAGAATGTGTTTTTTTATTTAGGCAAAAGAGGGAAATTACAACTGCATACCGGTGTAATTATCTTGGGACTCATCTGTACAGTATAGCTATGCTTGCATTCTGCTGTCAATCCGGTTATTATAAAATATGTTCTTAGAAAATTTTACCTGAAGAAAACATCACTGATTCAAGGTTTTATAAAATACAGGTCCTGCTTGGGATGGTAGGTTAATACATTCTCGAATATATTCTTGGTAAAGTCACGTAGATAGGTTCAAAGAAAACAAAAACAAAAATAACCAAAATCTACGACGTTTTGATCGCAATGCAAGCGGTCGTCTTCAGGAAAAGGGGGGTTAGCTTCCAGGGCAAACTGTTTAGAAGGTTTTGAAATGGGCGCTGCCCAAATGCCAGCAGCCAATGATAACGTAGTGGTGGGCAGCCCAATCCTACGGTGGTTGGTTTTCCACCAATCAAAGCACTGGCAGGTGAAAATTAGCATGTTAAAGAGAGATCAGCATGTTAATGGCAGATCTCAGCGCCGAAACCAAGGGGTTGGCGTGCGAAGTGACTGTGAAAGCGCAAGCTTGAAATGGGCGTAAAGCACAACTAACATCGGAAGGTGGTAGCATGGGAACATCATAGCCAATTATGACTTAAACTGGTTAATAACGTCCTTCCAACGATTGCTCAGTTTGTACCCATCTTATCGGTTTAAATTGTGTCTGTGTCTATATATATGGATCGAAATTGATTTCTCTAAGACGAAGGTACTTTGCAAGCCCAAAAGCTATCAACAAAGTTTAGTTCGTGAAGCCATCCATATATATAGACACAGACACAATTTCAACCGAGAAGATGGGTACAAACTGAGCGATCATCGGAAGGACGTTATCAACCAGTTTAAATCATAATTGGCTATGATTTTCCCATCCTACCACCTTCCGATGTTAGTTGTGCTTTACGCCCATTTCAAGCTTGCGCTTTCACAGTCACTTCGCGTGCCAACCCCTTGGTTTCGGCTCTGCGATCTGCCATTAACATGCTAATCTCTCTTTAACATGCTAATTTTCACCTGGCAGTCCTTTGATTGGTGGATAACGAACCACCGCCGGGCTCGCTGCCGAACACTTACATTATCATTGGCTGCTGACATTTTGGCTACGCCCTATTTCAAACCCTTATAAACAGTTTCCCTTGGAGGCTAAACTCCCTTTTCCTGAAGACGACCGCTTGCGTTGCGATCGAAACGTCATAGTTTTTTGTTATTTTCTTTGAACCTATCTACGTGACTTTACCGAAAGACCCAAAGATATTAATTCCTGCAGTCTCGAATATATTTTTGGTTTTCGTAAGGAAACCATTGTGTGCAATTGAATATTTATGATGTTTTATTTTTCCATATAACAATGTTACAAAGTAAAAAATTATCATTTTATTTTAAAAATAAACATGTATAACACGTTGAACCTTTAAATAAATATAAGAAATTACATAATAAATCACATATATTGCTCCTGTTAATAGTTCTCATTTGTGGTATGTATTTGAAAGTTTCTTTGTTATTATTAAATGTTGAAGTTCTAGTGTCAATGCCCAGTGTACCTAAAGGATCAATTGTCTTCTGCTTTTTGAAACCACATATCCTGCTCAGATATGTGAAATGCATATCTCGATGCTTGGCAGCATTTCATGATGCATTTGTGAAAGTCTTGTGTCAACTTTTATCGCAGAGATATCCAGTCACCAAAGGCCCACCTGCTTTTCCTGATCTCTCTGGGGCAGGGGTATGTTGTGCCTCTTAAAGGTTGTATGAATAACATTTTGTGTTACGTCATGATGCCGTGAAATTTTACAATATTTATTAAGCACTGTCATCATGGCGCGCTGTGGATTATATAGCAAGCATAACAATAGAACTATAAAATCACGAGGTCTGTTTCACCGTGTAAAAATAAAACAACATTTTTCGTCTCTCGGCCAATGTGGCAACTGCTCAAATAGACTACGCTCGGATTTCTTTGAGCAAACAAAATGCGGACCAGTTTTGAGTCTACTCATTTCAGCAGCAGACCGTGTCCTGTTAAATCAAAGGTGCTGTGATTGGCTGTTATTTCAGACAAGTCCTCCATGAATACAAATGGCTCCACTCAGCACAATACAGCAACGTTGTGCCCGGTATATGATTTGCTAGAATGGTGGACTTTGAGGAATTAAATTATGCATGACAACATGCACTTTTACTTCAGCTGCCACTACATGGGAGTGCATACGGGATTTTGTACAGTTTTGCTGTCTACATTAAATAAGCCCCACGGTATATTGGTGGACGGCTCTGTTGCCTACCATCAGGTAACCCGAGTAAAGTTTTTGTTTCGTAGGCCTCACTCTAATCATGAAGTCTCCGAAAGTTGTATTTGGTTCTAGAGTTTGCCTGGTACAGTAACAACAACATTCTGCTGAAGAATAGCATTTCTTTATTAGGCACCATTGGCTGATGGACTAAAATGTTGTTTTGATTTTAACGTATAATAATCATAATTAATTATCACTATCATTATTATTGTTATTAATGCATCACTCTGTTTTAATTATTAACATAGAATATAAAAAAAAACAATAACAATCACAGCAACGTTGTACATCTGAGTGTGTATATTATCACACACACACACTCAAGATAACCAAATTAAGATGTCGTTACTTGCATTCCTGTATTTGTCATGTTTTTTCCCAGGGTGGTCTGAATGGGTTTCCTGGCTTGTCCGGGAATTCTGGGCAGAGAGTAAGTTTAATTCAGCATCATTGCAGTACCTTAAAAATAAAATGTCTACATTTAGCTTCATGTTGTATTATGGTTGCATCATTTATCGTTATTGTTGTTAGCTTTGTGTTTTATTTAATGATACTTTTCTAAATTACAAGCTGTGATAAATAAATTGCGTATATGAAATTATGAAATGCATTGATGTCAGTAACTGCCAATCTACCCGAGGTGGCGTGGAGGCAGACTATGGTGCACATGCACAACATGCACATTCATTGTTAAGTGCAGGGCCGTATGCCACTAATCCAGCTACTTGAATGTAAATCTGACGTAGGTGAAACCATCATGTGTATGAATTTCTCACCAATAGGGAAACATAGCACGTGCAGGAGGCAGTTGAGAAAGTAGTTTTTTGCCCTGTGTGTGCAGTTTCGGCATTCGTTCCTCACGTGTTGGTTTCACCTCGATGAGATGTGCAAATCCTACATTAAAGTAGCTGCATTACTGGCATACGGCCATACACTCAAAAATAAATGTGCATGTTGTGCATGTCTTTGAGTCCCTGACATCATTAGGGTTGATTGTCAGTCCCTGACATCAGTTATTTGAGGGGTTAGTTCTTTATTGCTCAGAACATTGTATTTTTATTTTTGTCTCATGCAAGAATACTTTAAAAACAATAAAACATCCCAAGCAGGACATGAATAGAAATTAGTATTAAGATCAGTGATGGTTTTCTCTGTAAATATATCATTAAGATGGCAATATGAAATGTTTATTTTCTTGGTGTGTGGGGTTTATTACCACTAAGCGCAATATTTTGAAAGTTTTCTGCATTTTGTGACTTTTGGAAATTCATATACATAAAAAAGCTTTCAAGAAGTATTCGTCATATCCTGGGGTTGATAGAATACATTTGGAGAAAAAATATATCATTGGAAGTCTGGCCTCCCCCTTGTTGGACAGGTGTAGGGTTTAACGATTTATGATTAATATTTCGCAGGTCCTATGTTAACAGTGACTTTTCACGCTCGGAGTTTCTAATGCTGTGTGCTTTGATGTGGGTCTGTCAATGGGCAGTGTTCACTCTTGGTAAGGCTCAGGTTATAACTCAGCCTTTTTATTCCACTAATTTCACATTTGGACTTTGTGTCCAAAAAGGAGCCATGTGATGCCATGAATCCCAAGTGGCTCTCAGTCCAATAGAAACTGGTAATGGAATTCTGGGTCTTATCATGTTGGCTGTTTCATTTGCTGAAAGTCTCCTGTGCTTTTTGATCTATACTATCCTGAATAGTTTAAAAATTTGGAGACGAATTATATTTATATTAATGCAAGCTGATTTGACTCAACACTTGTGAAGAATTGTAAAAATATATAAAATTGGGACAAAAAATAAAATACTTCCTTAAAAAAATTGCTTTAAAATGCATACTGTATTCATGTTCGTACATGTTTGTATGGTGTAATTGAGAATGAGATGTTCCATCTCGATAGATTTTCCAGGTGAAATGTGTGAAATAGTTTTTAGCAGAAATCAAAGCAATGTAAAAAATCTTGCAAAAATGTATTATGAATGGTATATGCTAATGTAATATTACCATCTGGACATTATTATATTAATGGCATACATAACATGCAAATGTTGCTCAAATAGCTTTCCATGGTGCTGCATAGTGTATAGGATAGCGCGACATTTATTTCATCACAATTTTTAGTGAAATATCTGACGTCTCATTTAAATTGTGAACTGCATCATGCCAATGTACTTTTATTGTAATAATCTGTCATGAAAATCGAATTGTATTTATGGTGTTGCATTGAGTGTGTCAGAGATGTAAGGAGAAAATATGTCGTATTTAATGTTTAAGCTTAATATCAAAGGAGGACTCCAACTTTATTGAGCTAGAAACAATACTGATCTCCCGTTTACAGTCCTGAGTCAATGTTGGAAATTCCACATTTTCATGGTGGTGGCTAGGGTCTTCATTTTAGACAACCACTTTTGAATTTCCAACAAAGTGATCCTCATATTCTTGGTTCTTTCAGTAAAGTCACGTTGAAGGGAAACAATAAAATAATAAAGTATATATAAAACATTATTATTTTGTTTCCCTTCAACGTGACTTTACCGAAAGAACCAAGAATATGAATCACTGCAGTCACGAAAGCTTTAAATCAAAATTAAAGTGATCCTCATTTCATCAATGCATGGTTGAGTCGATCCCCAACTGAGATTTTTATTTGCAACCGTCTGATCGAGAGCTGTTCACTCTATCACTGCGGTTCCCTGCCAAATGTAAAAGGTGTTTATTAAATACATAATTAGAATACACTGCTAAAAATATGGCAGTGTGAATCTACTAGTCTTAGTTTTGATAAATGTGCAATGACAGTCGAGTCGTCTTTACATATGTATAAAAAGTAAACTCTGTTTCTGTATGTGGTTTTGGCGAAATCTCAAATATGACATTTGGCACATTAAAATATGCATGGAAATATAACCTCCAGGAAGCTGTGAGATCACGCTGTGTTCTTGGAACAGAATGTGTGATGTGGATATGTTATAGGATGCCTGAGGGTATCAGTGAGTTGTCTGGACGTTATGTAGCCTTTATTCTACTCAAGTCAAAAGCATATGTTGACCATCAATTTACTTTCTCTTCGATGAGGCTAGTGAGATACGGCTGATTCGTTTACATTTGCTTAAACGAGAATATCTAATGTTCGTAGCTAAAGTTATTATTACATTTTCTACACCGACTTATTTTGTATCGCTCTGTTTTGTGTTATATAAGGCCAATTTGTTAGACATTTATTTACGATACACTGCCTACCACACAGCGTGTGAATACATGAATCACAATAATAGTACTCACGTAAATTTAGTAGGAGTTTAGAGTTGATTGGGTGTTTCTGTCTGCAAATTAAAACACTTTACTTTATTCCAGAAACCTGAGTTTAAATTTTCAACCATGGAAGGGAAAAAAACAGTGGCATGTATTCTGAACTTTGCTCGTCACCTCCGCTAACCAAACGAGCTTCCACGCAGACTGCGTTATCGAGCAGTGATGATAGCCAGTGATGATAGCCAGTGATGATAGCCAGTGATGATAGCCAGTGATGATAGCCAGTGAGTCCGTAATAGATGCTCAGTTACGAGTGCTATAGTGCTATACTGTACACCAACCAACCTCTCTGATTTTTCTAATTTTTATAATTGATGCCAGGGAATCGATGATAATCGATTACAATCCATTTCCTGACATGAGATTTTAATCGATTCCCTGGCATCAGTTACAAAAATTATAACCGTATGTTGAGTTTGATAATAATCAACATACAGTTATAATTTTTGCCAGTTTCGTTTCAAATGCCATACAAAAGAGAGAGAAGATGTGCTAAACAGGTGACTATGCCATGCAATGGGGGGGGGGGGGTTGTGTGTTCTTCTTTGCCACAATGTACTCCTATCGTGCTATTGGCACCACGTGATGAGAAGTAAACATCATTCGGAAATCACATGGAGCAGAAAAACATGAATAAGAAAAACATCTTCAAGTGGCTTATTTTATCCTCTAGCATAATCGGGAGAGCACTTCCCCACGGGCTCTGCGCTATAAGATTGCAGCACGACATCCAAAGCAATATTGCTGTTTGTTTATTCTCGGCTCTGAACTGTTGCCCAACTAAAGTGCAAAACCACATTTGAATTCAGTTTAATCACTGGGATTTTAACCCACGATCTCAGCAGTGGCAGCTTATGTAACAAGGTATCTATTAAAAGCAGCTAATAAATAAGACCCCCCCCCCCCACCCGTTTGATTAATTTGCAACGGTTGTCATTTAATGCTGAAAACTTTAAATGTCTCCAGCGTTCAGGTCATGCCGGTAGTTAGCAGCAGAAGTCAACGTCACATCACTGCGTGCAAGCCGTTTGCAGTGGGCTCCTGAGCAGTAAGCTGAGCGTAAAAGTGGTATGATATTGTATTGTTGCAAACAACACATTTTTAATGTTTGACATCTGAAATGGAATCTGCCTCATCGTTTTAGAAATTCTACACTTACTTATCTGACCTCTGATTCAGCTGGTTACCTTGTAGGTTGTAATTTTTTTTTTTTAACTCTTACCCAAAAGTTATTCCAATTAAACGCGCCATGTGTATTTTTTGCAAGCGCGATGTCTGCTGCCTTGTGACATCGTGTCGCTCGCAGCAGACACAGCGGCTGTCGCGATTTTCACCTGAAGACGATGGCTTGTGTTGCTATCGAAACGTCGTGATTTATTTTTGTGTTATTTCTGCCTACGTGACTTTACCGAAGGAACCAAAAGGGTATGGATTCCTGCAGTCACGAAAGCTTCAAATCAAGATTATCCATTTATTATTTCAGAGTAATACAATATTGTGCGAAAGCTATTGGCCTTGATAGGCCTGACATTTATATCATAAACAGTACCGTTTAATCGGGTTTGCAAGCTCTAGTTAATTGCCATTTTTCTAGACTTAGATTACGAGAAAATTACATTCCACTTTGAAGTGATAGTTACGTTTCTCTGTCGATGGTTTAAATTATTGTATGCGAAGATCGATCTGAAACTGCGCATAAACAATTCAACCTGCGCTGCTGTAAATGTGTTCTGCATTGTGCAATTCCCTTTGCAACCATTTGTCTGAAACTTTAAGATCATCCAGAGGTTGGTTTAGCAATTGTATATATTTCAAGGTGAGGTCATTTTACGTTAGGACGTTTCACAACACGTTTGTCAAAGGTCATTTTGCTGAACTGCTGTCTGTTCATTCAGTTAAAATGTGACCTGTGGCTTTAAAAGCCTACTGAGGTCTGATAAACTGGACATTTTTTTTTTGCATGGTTATGGGTTTTACAGATATTGCATGTTAGGCGAATTGTGTATATATTTGTTAAACTTCTCTCCACATCATCTCCTCGCAGGTGCTCCCGTGGTGTAATGGTTAGCACACTGACCTTACAATCTAGAGGTCTGTGCATCCAGCAGT